ATATATGAGCATAGGGTTATGAACTTTTGGTCAACGTACTCACTCACACTGCCACAAATTCTCTCAGCGCTGTCAACTCCTTGATGATCTTGTTCGAATCGTCAATTGAAAGCCCACCCACCCAATCCGTGCATTATCTGTGCAATGATCATATGTCCTATATAGCGCTGCCAGCGTCCTAGAGCGCACACGAGTTTGACGTCGACAACGAACAATGTCGTTCTCTAACACAATTCAGATCCGAGGACTTTAACGAACTTCAACTGATTTCCAGGAAAATTTCTACATCCTCGCTCGTTACTTCATAGATATTCCTGGATGAATGAACCGAATCAAAGCACAAGCAAAATAGTAAATTCATGATGATATTTCTTCCTTTGCGACAACTACTTTCATAAGTTGCCGTTCGGCGCCAGCTGTTCAACCGCGGCTAGAATCATCCCATCGGTAAGCAAGAGTTGGTTTACAACGTAGGGCAAGCGAGTAGCTTGGGGACACCATCCGTGGTCTGGCCAACGAGTGAAACTTACCCAGCTTACACAACTGGCTACTTCAAGTACTGGACCGTCTGGCAACTCCCGACTTTTCCTTGATGGCAGCGGCGACTTCTCGTATGAAGCGCTCCCGCAGCCAATTCCACTGCTGCTGTTGTTGTTATTCTTGCCAATATTTGCCCCTAGTAGTTCAGTTCGTACGGACTGGTCGTTCGGACCTGTAAATGCCCAGCAGTCGTCCAATCGCCAGCGCCGCTCGCCACTTGAGGTAATGGTAAATAGACGTCATACGGCCCTCCTTCCTTCTTGTGTGAACACTGTGTAGAATGATGACGTGGATCTTTGCCTGACAGGATGCCGCACCTCGGGCTGCTGGAATTAGTGGCAGGACAAAACAATGTAATTGGATAGGAACGTACGAGGAAGCGGATATAGCCTCATATCTTCTTGCTGAAACGTCAATTCATCAAAAAGAAATTATCCGGGAACTATTTATCATCGATTGAAGAAATCTCGCAGTTCAGCAGTGGAGAGGGTAGCGGAGAATCGAAGGACTGAATTAGAGGAACGCAGATAGGATGGGAAGAAGAGCACCGGAGTAAAATTGGAAATTCAGAAATTCATTTTCGCATCTTTCTGTGATTCGAATATGGAACTGCCATAAAAGTAACAGGACTATGTCGACATATGGTGACCGTATTGCTAGCTAAAATTAGTGAAAGCATAAGTAAATCAACTAACCCTACTTGATCTGTCACTATAGTTTGATAGAATTCGAATTCTACTTAAGACTACGCTTATTAAAGCTGGCCTCCTTACCTATGAAATAACAAAACACTACATCGTTCAAATAGAAACTATGGTCGTCGTAGCTTCTGCTACGACTTCTATATTTCCAATGACGAGTCATACTAGATTGATGCGCCTATTGTGTTTGAATCTGCAACGTTTCTTGCCTGTGCTATTCGCGTAGCTTTATCGAATCGATTTTAACAGATAAAGTTGCTCCTTCGTTGAGGAAGCCTATGGATTGTTTTGTTTGCAAGTTTCCAGAGAAAGAGGATAGTCCAATGATAGTTTGAGAGTTTTCATTTTACGTTTTTTAAAAATGAAAAGTAAAATGCTTTGAAGACGAAGTAAGATAACAAGTGCGAACTTTGACCCATATTCCTGGTAGGAGCGCTAGCGGACAATTCTGAAAATGTTTTGTGTGCTGGCTTGAGAATGTTAAGGAGTCAGTACCGGCTCCTATTGTATAAAGTATTGTATTGGTGGTATAACTTCATTAACCCAGAAAATGCTTGCGAAACTTTTTTGAAGCTTGAGGAGATTTCTTAGTATAACGGTTTTTTGCCGTTTTCACTCGGCTACTATGTTACGGTAGGGACGGTTTTAGAGAGTGTTATTTGTACGAGCAGCATGTGCTGGTTTTCTCTGATATATGCATGCATATTCCCTGCTTCTGAATATCTGTAGGGAAAAATTTAACCGTCGTCTCTACCGTTTTCCTACCATCATTCTCTTCGTAGACTAATAACAATTGCGCTACGTACTCCATTATTCCTATGCTTCGTTTAGCAGCACGTTTCACGATAATTATGTATAATAAAGGTTTTAAAGAATATCTCGAGATACAGTCTAGCATGGCCGGTGTGCTCCATCCAAGTGTCGGTGACGAGAAGCAAAACACTGTAGAATAATGAAATCATGACGAAATATATAGAAGGTGAATCGGTTGTGGCAGGCTGAAAATCATCCGGTTCATAATCAGCTAAAGAAAACTGCCGAAGCTGCTAAATAGTCTGCCGAAATGAAACGAACTGAGAAGGCTAAATACAAAAAAATCGACGGTACGTCGGAATATAATTTGTAATGAAGTTTTTCTTGGCCAGTACTTCTTAGAGACAAATTTCGTTTTGAGTCACGGGTAAACCAAAGATAACAGCAAGTTCAGGGGGCTTTTTCTTTAAGTAAGAGACCTGTATTGTGCGTGAATGGCCTCATCGGAAGGTTGTTGGTATCACGTTCTAAGCACAAACATTGTCTAACATCCAAAGCAAACTTCTGAAGTCATGAACTGCACTCCTGTTGGTCCATATCTCGTTTACACTCCCTCTACATAAAATATATTGTCTTTCACTAATTATATGGCTAGCTCTATAATGTGTAAATAAACAAACACATAACTCAATGACATAAAAACACAAACCCGTCAATTAGGATTTAATTATATACCGAATATGTGTTTCGTTCTCAAACAGAGTCAGATGCCTCTGATCGATAGTTTCCACAGTGCTCAAGAACTTCAAGGTTGTTGAAAAATATACGCATAGGCAAACTTGTTAAGTTGGCTATCAGTCTGTGTAAGACAACGTGTCAATACGTCAATAAGGCGAAATTCAATGCGAAACATTCAAGCGAAAGGACATTGGCTGGCGTATCAAGGTCATGACTTGTCCTACTTTAACCATCGATACCAGCTCGCTAAATGTCATCAGCGGCCCAAGCTGTTGCAAAAATTCCTCCAAAATCCCAATTGAAACGCTGCCATCAGCAGGTCACGGCTCATTGTCCCCGATCGTGCTAACACCTGTGGTCTGGAAGAATGTGAGAAGCAGCGCCATGATCAAAGTGTACAGTAAAATTGCTACTTCATAGCTGATCTCAACAGCAGAGCCTGTCGTCTCCAGCTATCTCGATGCGATCCGCTAGCAATCTAGCGATAACTTACTCCCGACTTTAACAAAGGAGCGTGACCCCGCTAACTTAGTAAGATGCATTGTAGCGGTATTTACCCTGTTCGCCATTCGCAGTGACCTGTCGAGGACCAAGGGCGGACGGTCAGTCGAAGTTGAATTAAATTTTAAACGACGACAAGCAACAGCGAAACGGAAGCAGGACATATCTGCTCGTAATTATTCCGAATGCTTGTTAATTGCAAAGTGTAATATATACATGGCTTTATGTTTAGAGCTGCCATAATCGAACGTCAATAGCGTTTTGCAGTAACTGCCAGAACTGCTTCTGTAAATAGATACGCCAGCGATACATACAGGGCAGTCATAGCTATAGAGATTTACACAGATTTTTGTGTCCTTGATATCCTTGAACTAAGTTCTTGATGAGGCGCTGTCCCGTAGTTGACTGAAGTTAGGGTTTTCACTACATACGTATGCAGCTCTTTTGACACTATTTTACGAAGCTTCTTTTAGCATCTTAAATATTACATGTATTCAATGATGACTAAAGCTTCATTATGGAAAAACTGTATTCATCGTCCTGCAATCAACAATACGTGGCCGTGCTCAGTAGCGCTTAGTCCTATTTAATTTGTCACCGATGCTTTTTTAACGCTTCTTTTTTTATTCTAGATATGAATCTTTTCATTTACACTTTGTACAGTATATTTTGAATCTAGTTGTGAAATGTAATTCAGGAAAAAAGCCGGCCATATGATGTGTTCTATTTAGTACTCGTTTGATAACATCCAGTGATCTACTTATTAGGCGAAGCGACCCCTAGCTTTATGTTGACCGATTCTGATAATGTACATTTGCACACTTGTCACAAGTTATTAGTATAAAGAAAAAGCGTCTCGTACAATGTACAGGCTAACATCCATTGCCAGCATGAGTAAATTATAATACCCTAGGTTGTTTTTAATACAAATGTTTAACATAGGAAAATGATCGTAGATTCTAATGACACCGAAACATTTGATCAAGCTCATTTACTCATAAAAGCGACCACTGCTCGGTATCGTAAGGAACTGATATAATTGATCCCAGTTAAATTTTAATTAAATCTAGCTGTTGGTAGAAGTGTCAATGAGATTTGTTGGTCACAAATCCAGATTCGGATTACCAACTAGGAAAGCTAACACAGTCGTCTCTGTCAGCGCACCTGATCATAAGTAGTAGCTTGCCCGAACAGAAGCGTTGACAGGTCGTACCGTAAATGGCCTAGCCCTCTGCGTAGTTTGGATGGGTGTAATTTTTCCGTTTTTGATTACCATGATACGATTGTTGGCGGAAAAGAATGTTTTTTTCCCCTGAATAGCGAATGTCCAATGCATCTGTTCAGACTGATCTAGCGTTCAAATGATAGCAAACCGTACTGCGAATGACACAAACGCGACTCCATATGAGCTATAAATTAGCAATACTACAAAAATTAGTAACATTAGGAGATTCATCTCAATGGAAATGTGACTATGTATGTGTTCGCTGTTGCCTTGCTCCTGATTGCGGGTACAGATCACAAGCGAAGATGACCGGCCCGCTCGGTTATTGCTATCCTTCTTTGTCTGCTTGTTCATAGCATTGGGATACTTAAACCCGATACGGTCAAAGGGTGAGTATATACTTTCATGCATGCTAGATAAGCTGGAGTGATTAAAT